CCCCCCCCCCCCCCCCCCCCCCCGGCCCCGATTTTTTTACGTCCCGTATATAATGAAGGGAGAGGTCACGACTGATTTCAAGGCTCTCGTGGAGGGCTTGCAGGGAACCACGGACTACTCCAAGGCTCCTCAGGCAGCGTCCATGTGACTGACGTCCGAGTGAATGAACCGCCTCGTTGTCTGATCTAACCCGTCTTATTTGTTCTATTTCAGTACAAGCAAGTGTCATTTGTGTCCCGGCAATCTGGCGTTTCGCGCAGTGGAGCACAATGGGACACGCCTGGAGCACGCCGGCTCTCGTGTGGGGAGCGAGCGGGCTTGAGTCGTTTGGGAGTCGCGGCGTACACAGCAGTCAGTCGTGTTCTCACACATGGACGCATACGTGCACAGCAGGCTGCCTATACCAAAGCCCTGCTGTGTACGTGACGCATGTACTGCGGCAGCTCCCACGCATGGGCATTGTTCGATCGATTAGCGCGCGTCGCGCCGTTTGTCGGTTTCGGGTTTTCAATTTCAAAGTTTACTGCCATTTTGCCCTCTCTTCCATGAATCCAGAACATGGTATTTTCCGGGCATTTTGGAATGTGTGCACGAGATGGGCTCCTACGGATGCCTATCATAGAACGTGTTTTTCGGTCGCAAGTCTTTGTTTGCCGTTTGTGTCCGCGCAACTGGGGTTTTGTTGTTTGGTGGGCTGGAGGCATTCCCATAAAAGGTAGTTGCCGACCGCCGGGCATCTTGTCCTTTCGAATCAATCGGGGAGAGATTGGTTAAAACTGAAAGAAGGTACCAATGCGTGGTTTCGAGCTCCTGTATACATTTACGAATGGCATTTTTTTACAATTTGAGGCTCTGTCAGCTGTCTGGACGTCTGGACACGATGGCTTTTGCGGCGTGTGCTTCTTCCTGTGTCGTTCCCCTTCTTCCCCTCACGCTTTCAATTGTCGGGGATTTCGTTTTTTGTGTGTATTTTGGAGTCGAAAATTGGCCTTGCTGTCGACACAGTAGCGTCACCCCTGTCCCACTAGTGGCCCGGGTTGGTATGGCACAACTGGGAGGGTAGGCGCGGTATTTGTCGAGAGAGTGTTGCGTTGATGGAGAAGAAAGAGGAAAATAGAAAAAAATAACAAGGCCTTGGCTGTAGCTGGGAACAGTCCGGCCGCTGCCCGTAGGTTGGCTGCAAAGCTGCAACATACATAAACCCCCGGCAAAAGAAAGAACATCGCGGTGTCTGCCAAACCTACACGACAACCTCGAAACCACTTCGACAGATGTTCGTCGAGAGGCACATCCACCGCTTCTAGGCCCTTGCTCGCTAACAAGGTCAACATGCTTGCGTGGCGTAGTTTGTGGCGCGTTCGGCATGAGAATTTATCGCGGGCGAGGTGGGCCGTTGCCGGCGTACATGAACGTCATCGTACGCTTTAGAGGGGTGTAATGGCTTGTAACCTGCAGTAGTACACTCCATTCAGTAGTACACTCCATTCAAGACATGACGCGCAGCAACCATATCGTGGGCTGAGCACGCAGGGAAAACAAAGATACACGCCTTATGATACACGAAAAACTGCAAAATTACGAGTTAGCTGTCTTCAAAACCAAACCGCGCACACACGCAACCAACCGGATTACGACCAACTGCTGTTCCCTCGTCAATTTCCTCATCGTTGCACGTACAAGGACAGAACACGAATCGAGGTCTGCTGGCAGTTCAAGAAAAAACACATATCGGACAGCGGACGAGATCCTCCACTCCCTCCTACCCCCTTCCTTCCCTCCACCACACCAAAGAGAAATTCAGAAAAACTTCCACCACAAGATGAAAAGTATTGCTATCACCATCGCCCCAATCGGTCCGTACTTTTGCCACAACGCCTGACGAGCACCGGAAAGCAGCAAACGCATCATGGGACAGCAGTGACAAAACGCGGGCGTTGGAGGAGTGTGGGTTAAGATGATTAGTGTCAGGAAATGCAAGGTTAGGAAAGAGCGACAGCAAACGCGGTTACCGCTCCTACATAGAGCCGAACAATCTCGAGATCGCGACAAAAGGTTGACGCTATTGTACCGCTGTGGGACAGGAAGCAGTTCTGAAGCTTTAGCTTCAGTCTCATCGTTCGATATCCATGTGTGGACCTTTCATTTTCGTCCCCCACCCCTTGCCCGACCCGGTCTCCAAAGCTGATCTCGAGCTACAGTGCAAATCTCGTAGCGCCTCAAGCATGGTTCGGTAGGGAACCGCAAACCACGACCCCTCCCCGAATTTGAGCAGCTTCCACCTCCTGTGGCCGACACGACTCGGCCCGGACTCTTCCTTGTCCGTTCCGCCATGGGACGGCTGGTTGAACAGAGAAAGAGGGTCCTGCGTGCTGCGCGCCACCATCTTTTTTTTTTTTTTTGCGTTTGTGATTTTTGACCTTTGTATACATGCGGCTGCTGTTCTTGCTCGGAATGCGCTGCAAAGCTCGCAAGTAAGGTGCATCGTCTGTGTCGCTTTGGGTTGCACGCGTTGCTCATCGGGTATAGGTAGCGATGCACGCCTCTTTACGTTTTCCTCTGGATCGTCATCCATGAACAGCAGCAACGACGGTCCGCCGCATACTACGCATGGTCTTGCTGCGTAGCATAGTGCGTAACTCGAGCGACAAAGCCGATCGTAGCACAACTATCTCAGTATATGTGTAGTCAGCCATGAGGACGGTCGACGCCTTGCTCATGTAGCGGTGCGCATCTAACACGGACGGCAAGCGTATTGAGGTAGTAGTTCATCCGAAGTGCTTAGTCATGTTATTTTCTGTTTGTTGCCCTACATCACAGAGAGGAAAGAGAGGCGATGCATAGACTATGTGGTTCGCGAACGGCGACTACGTTTCTTGCTCAGTGAGACTACAGCAGCAGCACTATCAATAATGAGGGGTTTCAGCTATTATACAACAATATAATACCTGGAGTGAGTCTGGAGGGTGCTCCTTGTTCTTATGCATACCGCAGTAGTAGGTGAAATAATATATCACGCCCCCTTGATCAATATTTACAGCTATGTTAGTCCACGACGACGAGGATGTCAAACGGTTCGTTTATTTTCGGCAAGCTATCGGTTCCAACGCCGCCCTGCCACGCTTCTTTCTGCTGTGGAGTAATAGAGCTTTGCAAATTTGTTCAGGGGGTGTGATATCTGATGTCGCCTACTCTGACTCAGTGTGCGGAACTTTTTGTAGAGCTCGGTGAGCGAGCGTGTCGCTGTGTGCGCTCTCGAGGTTATTTACAGCTAAAAAACTTGAAAGCTTCAGACAGGCAACGCTGCGATACTCGTCGTCGTCGAGTTGCTATCACAACAGGGAGAGTTGCGGGAAACAATGATGTCAAGAGAGGAGAAACACGTCAAAATGTTTGCGTCGAGAAACAGCTGCAGAAAAAACGTGCATACCCAGGAGACGCCCGTCCTTCTCGCCTTTCCTAACTCAGCCTGCTGCAATCACTGTTCTCTCCGCGATGTGCATGCACATCTGCACATCTGACTGTCATCTCACCATGAGGGACAGCTTTTTCGAGCTCCACTTGAACTGCTCCGCCTGCGTCGACAACGTCTTCGAGATCTCGGAAACGTCTGCAGGCAGGGAGGGGGGTGGGGGGGTGGGGACGAGAAACAACAGTAAAAAAAACGCCCGGGACACGTGAAACCGCGGGTCCAAGGCCAAACACGAAACCCTCCAGGTGAATCACTTGGCAGTTTAACCCATCTACCTGTCGATTCTGTAACGTCCATTGCGCTCGTCCAATTCCCACCTCCCACCACACCTCACTACCCTCGACACCACCGCCGACTCAGGTCCAAGCTACCAAGGAAACAACCATTGAAAAGGTAAGGTCGACAGGTCAAACTTTGTACGTCTGTTCCAGTTGTAGTAAACCCCTTCGTACGTCGGGCCACGGGCGCGCCCGCAACGGCACAAAACCAACACGCCGGGACTAGCGAAAACTCTCGGCGAACTCACGGTCGAGCTTCTCCCCTCGGTTGAGAACCTCCTCGATGTTCTGCTTCATGATGCTGTGGATGTCGGCGAGGTCGTCGTTGAGCCTCGCCATGTTGTTTCTGCTCTGTGGGTCGAGGAACTCCTTTCGCTTACGCTGGATAACCTGCCAGAAATTGACAACGCAGCAGCAGCAGCAGCAGCAGCAGCAGCAGCGCGTTTTAACAGCAGGACGACAACATGTGGGCCAACACACCGCAACACGAAGCAACCGCAGTTGCACCAGCAGCAGGAACAGCATTGGTTTACGAGAGCTTCATACGTCGGGGGGAAACAAAAAAAGAGCAAGGGGTGGGGGTGGGCGGGACGTGAACTCTTCTGTTCCTCGCCTCCGAGAGGGTCGCGACCATCAGACCGGGTGTCTCGACAACGGAGCCGTCCCCACGTTCGAGAAATGGCCGTTCACACGATTGTTGCATGACAGAAGTTTTCCTTTCCTGTGCGCCATCTACTACATAGGAAGGGGCGTGGGGGAATAGGAGTTACGCAGGAATGACAACGCAGAACCCGGTAGAGAAGGAAACACGGCTTTGCTGTACCCCCACAAATTTTCAGCCAAGTCCTCTCGTGCCGGAACCACACAAACAAAAACGGAGAAGAGAGCATTATTGTAAAATTGCAATACTGGTGCGAGCAAGCTTACCGAAGGATTTCAACCAAGGTCTGCAACACAACGAAAGGAACAAAACAACACCAACTTGTGCTATTAGGCTTTTACAACACACAAAAAAATCAGGAGGAGCTTGCTCTTCACACCTTGTCGAACTTGATGAAGGCGTATGGTCGGGCCGCCGTCTCCACCTGGCAGTTAGGACCAGAGAAGTAACGCCCCGGTGTTTGAACGAAAGAAAGGGGAGGAGGAAAGCCTTTGTGTTACCGCCAGCAACAGCAACGTAGAATGGTATTATCTTCCATGTCGCCACCGGGGTGGCGACACTGAACATGTGCAGACTAGAGAGAGAAGGTCAGAATCGCACTTCAATAGAAGGGCAAGGCGAAACAACAACAACTATGGCAAGGGCCGTTGTTTCTTCAAGCGAGCGAGCTACCGCTGGCCGATGGCCTTCTTGCTTGCCTTGTTGCGCCAGTCCTCCCCGTAGTCCTGCCGCAGCTCCCCCACGAACTCCTGGTGGATTTCCTCCAGGTACAGAAACGCCAACCGTTTTGGGTAGCCCTTTTCTGCCAGCGTTAGGTAGCAGATACCCTGCTCGATCATGTAACTGCCGGGTTGATTGGTTGTGCAAACACAAGGTTGGGTGGACTTGTGAGGTCTCTTGATTTTGGGGTTCCCGATATCGCGGTGGGACCAAAAATGGGTAAGTTAGTTGATAACCCTGGATGATGTCAGCAACTGCTGTAAAATCACCCCAACGACACCGAAAAAAACATGGGTCGGGGAGGGGGGGGGGTACTAAGCTACGTGAACACCGTCGACACGTCGGTGGGAACCAGAGACGTCTATAGCGTGTCAGAAGGAGAAAAGGGTGAATAACAAACCCTCGCCAAGTAGCAATAACGAGACAGGATATGCTGCCTCCCAAGAAGGGTGAGGTCACCTAGGCGCCCAGACTTGCGTGTTGGCGCCATAAAGCTACGCACAGCAAACGACCGACACACAGGGGCATATATTTGTCTTGCGAGTCACGCCAAAACAAACAACAGCGCAGTCGCCGTCGTAGCACCATCTTCCAAATGCACAGTTGGAAACGCCTTTCGAGAAGCAAAGCACCGCTCGCGACCACAAACATACAACACATGCACAGAAGCATGGCTGAAACCTTCTCGCGTTAGTTGGTAGAAAGTTTCAGGCACTGCAACCCAGAGGAATTCCATTCTGCGTGGACCCCTCTCGGAGCTCTTCACTCAGGTAGCCAAGCCCGTAGGGTAGATAGCTAAAACTGCGAACGAAAACTACCCCTGCGAGGTGACGGCAATGCCCGGTACAGCAGCAGCACTCACTGAAACACATAGGGCCGCGATTCGATGCTGCACTTGGCCACCGATCGAGGGTTGAGTCTTTTGAGGATCTGCTTCGCCTGGCTCCGGCACACATCCACCGTGGCTGCGCTGTCCGATCCAGAGTCCATCGACGCCACCTACGCACGACATTCCCCACAAATCGAAAACGTGACGGGGGGGGGGGGAAGAAATGCAGTTGGCGTATGATACAACCCAGAAGAACTACGAAAGACAACCGTTATCCTCCAAAAACGCGTTACATCGCAAAGCACGCCGTACGCTAAAACAAACAAAGCGTGCGCTGTCCAGCTCGCGAGTCTATCGATACCACCCTCCCCCGTCAACTAGTACTTAAACAAGGACCTTTGCAAAGACGTGCACGCGCAACATGACGATTTTCGAGCGAGGTTGACCTATCTCGTGCAGAGCCAAAAACGGATCGCACCACGTACGTTAGATATCGTACTCCTTCTTGTCCACAAGTTTCTTCATTTCACTCAACATGACACAAGAAATATTCCGTTCACGATTTACCGTTTAGGGTTTAGTCGACGGACCTTCATATGCATGCAGTTCATATTCTGCAGCCCACCAAGTTGACACCCCTGGAACCCGAAGCATTCCAGTCTGCAACGTGCAAGAACAGTCGTTGATCCGACCGATGAAATCAACTACAACCACACAGTACCCCGACTAGTGAAAAGACTTGACCAATCACAACCAAGCGCCCCTCACCAGCAGGAGGCCGTCCATCACCCGAGCAACAAACGTGAGCACCGGCATGGTGCTGCCGTCTGGTACACCCCCTTTCCTTAACCGCCGCTGGTCGACGCTGCCGCGAGCCTTCCACCGTTCGCCCTGCGCGCCTGTCGCAGCGGAAGGTGGCGGCGCGTTCAATGCCGGTTCGGTTCAGCCGAAGCGAGAGCAGCTGAAGCTACCGGCCTCGCGTTTGTCTTCGGTTCCGGGGTCCGGAGAACTCTTGAAAACTACGGGGTTCGAGTTCCCGGCTTGTTCGGGTCAACCCTGCGGGAGATGGGACAACAGAACTGCATCATCATAAAAAATGCGGGCGAAAGGAACGGGGAAAGAACGAGGGTCGATTGTTTCGGATGGCGGCAAGCGCAGGCGTTAGGCATGAACACACTGGGGGATCATGCATGCGCGTGCGCCATACTCCTTCGGTGGTCCTTGGGCTTTTCTTAGTATGTAGACCCTTCGATTTGCGCACTATCGTGAAGATCCAACAATGGGACGTTACCCGGATATTGAATACGAAGTAGACGATACCGGCTGTGCTCTTTTTCCCATGCATCGCCAAGTACTCATAAACCTGAGCTACTACCCTATATAGTATAGTTGGTCAGGTAGAATCGTACTCAAGACCTGACTGAATCTACCGCCACCTCCAGATCTGTTCATACAACACCGCTCTCTCTCTCCGCCAATGTACAACACACGCCGGCAACAATTGGAAGTGCGGATGTTGCACCCTTGGATGGCGTTGTGATCGACGAAGATAAGCAAGATGAAGTGGATGTCTGGACGTATGCACACGCCAACACACACAGATGCTCCTTTGTGGGCAAAGCTTCGTGTCTGGAGGCATGCATGCGCCAGCACACGCAAACGCCCCGTTGTGTGCGAACGCATTTCATTCCACAACGTATTTACCTATGGTATGCATGTCTGATCAAATTGGCACAACACACGATCTCTTACACAAGCTCAACACCGCATCCCCACTTCACGGGTCCAAATAAAAACACCGGTCACATGGTAAAAGGAAGCAAAATACAACTCTTTCTCGATGCCATTTCAACCTATCATATCGCCCAAAACACATAACTCGTGGTTTCAAGCTATTCGCACTCCGTTCTTGCGGAGCACCGCGGTGAAGGCAAAACACTGGCACCAGCATTAGAGGAGGTGCTATCTAACGTCAAGAAAACCTGACCCCCCTTCTTTGCTTTAGCGCACCCGCGCCGATGCATCAGCACTAGCATCAGCAGGACGGCAGTAACCTATCTCGTGACATGCAACTCGCGGAGCTCGATAATACGCACAACAGCGTAGTGTGACACCTCCCGCCGAGAAGTCGCCTCGTAAAGAAGAGGTAGTCGCATCAGAACTGCTTTACTCTTATGTCTGCTGCACACACCGGGTTTCACTATGCATGCCGGAGGTTGCATAAGATACCACACCCCCTCGACCGATGATGAAAGCTCGTTTACTCGACGACGAAGAGCATGCCGAGTTCAAATGATGCATTTTCGGGAAGCTTTCGAAGAGATGGTTCCAACGCCTACCGCCATTCTCGGCGTCGTCACTGTTTTTGCTGCCGAGAAATCAAGCTTTGAAAACCCGCCCAGGGGGTGTGATATCTTACGCAACCTACAGCTGCAGTCCACCATCTGTTTCACTCCTGCGGATTAACGTGCCTCTGTAGAGAATTGAACATTTCGCCAAATAGAATCTCCACGACAGCGTAGGGTTGAGAGGTCCTGCTTAACGGACAGATGAAGGTAGAACGACTACCTCTGGCACTGCTAAGTTGCGTACCGAGTCAACTGATTGTGGCAAGGGCCTGGCGAAGATAGCCCAATCCCGTTGCGCCAAGTGTTCTATGTAGACTGCTGTACCGCGATCTGATCCTCGTCGTTGAGCAAAGCCGGTCTACTTGTCGCATGTCTTCAATACAACAGTATTAACTTCTAACCACGAGGCTCGTGCTTTCTCTACTGACATAATGCTCCCACGAAAAGCCACAGCACCTTTTGAGCCTAGCTGTTATGGCACTGCTGTTCCGTGTGTGCGCCTCGACCGTCACTCACCGCCGCTGTCCTTCCTTTTCCGTTTGCAAGCTTTCCTCTCTGAGACCAAAGAGCACCACCGGGCTTTCCCAAGCGAGAAGAGCACAAGATGTCGACCCTTATCTAGTCCGTGCTGTGCCGTCTATTGAGTTGCACAGACCTCTTCGCTGGCCCAGAAGCTGCTGGATGTGCTGTGAGTTCGGTGCACTCCGCAACACGGGATAACGGAATCACGCCGACGTTGGCGGGGCTCCGTGCAATCAAAACGGGTATGAAGACTCAACAAATCTACTCTACGGACCTCTCTGGCGCCTTTGCGCCTTGCTGTTTGCCGCGCTCCCAGCATCGTGTTCTCTGCTTCTGCCACGCCGGTTGTGTGTCCATGTGAGTGTCGTCGCTGCTGCTGGTGGGTGCTATGATGTGATGCAGAAGCTGGTATCGGGGGATTTGAGGCTGAATGTGTTGGTGGTACGAGGGATCCATATTCCCCAGTGTAAGGACGGCTTGGCCGCCGCCTGCCGTACACAGCAAGCACGTTTCGTTCTCGGTGTGTGTGCGGGTTGTCTTTAGGAAGACGTTAGGGAAGACGCCCGACGACAGCAGCCGATCGATTGCAAGGGAAGATCCTAGTATCCCCGGGCTTGTGTGCGTGTTTCGTGCCCGCCATTCGGCGGCTGATTGACTGTCCCAAGGCTAAATTGGATCATCTCCTACAGCTGCTGTCCCCAACAGCAGATACCTCCCCGCAGGACTCGCCCAGACCTCCAGCAGTAGCTCGCTTATGGGTGTCGTTGCCGACAGGAGCAAGGCGGAGGCCACAGCAACTATGCACCCGACAGTTTCCCCTCCATAATGCTTTACTCTCCGCGCTGAATCTATATATGCCCATCACACGCCGATGTCCCACACGCCTCCTCTCCGTCTGGTTGGTCAGTTTAAACTCGGGAACTGCCTTGTTGACGGGCACATCGGAGAGGGAAGGAGCATCGCGAAGACCGAGCTCTACTGCCAGATTCCCTTCTCCTTTTGTGGGCGGGGCGGTGTCGTGATAAGGGAGGGCTGAGAGCCGGGGTGTTGGGTCGTGGTCTTGTTGGACAGCATGGATGACACCTTGTACGATGAGTTCGGCAACTACATCGGTCCGGAGCTAGGAGACAGCAGCGACGAGGAGGATTCGGACGATGAGGAGGAAGAAGAGGAGGAGGAGGGAGATGGAGATGGCGAGGTGGGGCATGATATCACGTCCTAGCCCTTGGAATTGATCGCGCCGCACGGGTCACCGACAAGTGGAACATACAAGTCGTTGACGGACGTTACTGAGAGTTTGTTGGAGGGACTTGTCCACCTTGTACCAGAGCTGATGTGCTGATTTTATGCCTGACATCATTGAACCATCATTGCAAAGGGCTTCAGAACAATCCCCTCCAGTACAGAAGTCTCGCCTGAGGTGGGTAAACCGTCCATGATTTTAAAGGTGTAGTTTTCCTTGGAAATCGTACCTTCGCTGGTGGATACTGGTTAGAGAGGAAACATCTCGCTCACTGATAGAAGCTTTGGACACAAGCGTCGTGAAATTCCATCTTTGTCGTATCGTTATCATAGGTGATCGTACGCGGCAGGAGCCTGCCTGCTCTTGCGCAGGATATCACAACACACACTACAGCAGTAATTTAATGCATGTGTAATCTAGCTGAGACATCTATGCGGGGCATAAGAACCATGCCTCTGAAGGTACCGTTTTGTATTATCACTGATTGGATGTGCTTGACTGCCGTACGTATGCGATCAAGATACACACCCCACACCGGCTTGCAAACCTCGCTCACCAACCAATCGGGTGCAAGTTCCGAAAAACGCGGTTCTGGAAAAGGTCTCGTGAATTATTTCAACGGTTTTGGCATGCAGGGGCAATCGAGCTTTGATAGTCGTCTCAGGAGGGATCGGTGACCTGAAAATTTCGCTGTTGTCTTGTGTCGGTACTCTGAGGACGAAAGCTGTCCAACGGAACCTTGAGTTTCACAAAACAAGGATTATCACGAGGAACGTTGGGTCGGAGGATCCACAATGGCGAAAGTATATCTAGTGCTACTGCTGTGTGCGTAGTGAATGTGCCCTTGGCTGTGGGTACTGCAACGTGAGAGAAGTATTGTTCATCACGGCCTCGAGCAGTCGGCGCGTTGGCGGAGGGAATCGGGTGGTATGTTCGGCCGCAAGCCTTGACGTTCCGAGGTGCGTGTCTACGGCACCACTTCTCTTGAGAAGCCATCTGCCCACCTGTTATCTGTGACTGTCGTGCAGTTGTTTGGTATTGTTAGATATCAGTGCAACGTTTTGCGCTATTTGCAATCTCTCTCTCTCTCTCTCTCTCTCTCTCTCTCTCTCCCTCACTGTGAAATCATGAGTGACCTATCCAGTTGCTTCTACCGCGATCCCTCCGCAAATAATCCACATTACCCCGCCTTCGAAGTAGCCTACCCACGGTTAGTCGAAACTGATGGTAGTGTGTTTGTGTTGCTGCCTTATATTTGAGCCGAAGAACCACAAACATTAATCCCGCGTAACTATTCAAGTATTGATACATGCAGCGCCCCATCCGGGCCTCTGACAAGTCTTGTCGGGTGGCTTCCGTTTCTTCTCAGGGAGGAGAGGGTGCGGAAGGGATGGAAGTCGAAGGCGCGGTCGGCGGCGACGCTATTGTCCTGCACGAAGACAAAAAGTGAGTGCCTTTGCGTTTTTAGGTGTGTGAAAGATCTAGCTGAGTTCTCACCGAGCGTTTACTACAAGCCGCTCTGCTGTTCACGAAAATGAGAAGCGTGGGAGGTGCACAAGAAATTGGTTGACTGAATCCATGCCATGTTCATTTACGATAGGTCGCTCCCCGCAATATGGCAAGACACTAGAGGCTTATTGTTGGAAGGATTGTGAGACCGGCTGAGTGTGCACAACGCCCTTCAATATTTGCTCTCTTAGCGGAGACAAGTATCGAGTATCCTGTCACATGCGTGCATGTGCTTGTTACAGCATGGGCTTTTTCTTCGACTACTACTTCAGCCCGCGCTTCCAACTAGTCACCCCGAGGCCGAGTTGATCTTACAAGGGCGCGGCCAACATTCGCAACAACCTGTTTTTTTAATTCTTCGCAACAACCTGTTTTTTATTCTTCGCAACAACCTGTTTTTTTTTTCTTCGCAACAACCTGTTTTTTTATTCTTCGCAACAACCTGTTTTTTTATTCTTCGCAACAACCTGTTTTTTTAATTCTTCGCAACAACCTGTTTTTAATTCTTCGCAACAACCTGTTTTTAATTCTTCGCAACAACCTGTTTTTTTTTTCTTCGCAACAACCTGTTTTTTTATTCTTCGCAACAACCTGTTTATTCCCGGTGCCTCCTTTGTACCAGTCGACCGAAAAGGAAGCTCTTTCTTTTTGTCTGAGGAGACACTTCGAAAGCATCGCACGCGGACAACGTAGCACGCGGACAACGTAATAACAGCAGTAAGCGCTCTTTCGTGACGTTTCAATCTTGGGTGGCGTTTCAAGCACATATTTTCCCTCGTGTGCACCTCTTGGCTTGAAGGTATTACCCCGACGCTGAGGATGTGTACAAGGGTGCGGCCACCGTCACAGCGGACGAGGACGCTCAGGGGCTCGAGGAGCCCATCATCGCGCCCGTCAAGACAAAGACTTTCTCCAAGCTGGAGAAGGAGGTACGCGGTGTGTTGTTCTTGCTGCTGTTGTTGTTTTTACGAGCGCGTTGAGTGAAGACGCAGGGTGAGCACAAGAGGCCCTTTGGACACGTTTCAGGGTGTACAAGCAAAAAAACGAGGCCTTGAAAATTGCTCGAATTGTGCTCGAGTGGCGGGTGATAGGCATGGTGCTTGTGTGGCATGGCATGGCGTGTAGGAAATGCAAGAGACAGGCGTGGCCACCCGAAAAGACCGAAGATAACCCAGGCCAAGCAGAGGACCGGAACCAATCAAATCGAAATGATCCATCGAAAGAGCCGAGTGATACCACCGTCATTCAGCCTCGACGGACGCGTGACCCGCTCACGATTGGCTCCATCACATGTTGTATTCTTATGCGTTTTTTTTTTGTTGTCCGGCATCGCCCTCCCTGCCGATCTCCTCACACATCTGCCGTGGAAAAATAATTACGCTTGCCGTTGTTTTGACAGCTGCCGGACACGAAGTGCTCCCCGGAGTTTATGGCCTCTCTCATGGAAACACCCACCCTGGTACGTCACGCGGCGGTGGTAGGGCACCTCGGGCACGGGAAGACCCTGCTCATGGACGTCTTAGTTGGACAAAGCAGGTGTGCACGTGTGCGTGGTTGTTGTTGTTGTTGTTGTTGTTGTTGTTGTTGTTGTTGTCCTCACATCAACTACCGTGGTTGGTGGAGAGATTATCGCTAGCGGTTGGTATCCAATTGTATCGGAGATACGTACTGCTGTAGTGCCCTCTTCGGGCTAGTTGGCGTGTGCGTACCGATGGCGTCTGCTTCAGTTGGTGCCGTTCAGGTGTTAGAAGGCGCTAAGCACAGGGTATGGTTATGAAGACAAATTAAGATTGTGTCGCAACCAGCGGGGCAGGTTCTTTGGTTCGGGTGATGCATGATGCAACGCGGGAAGCTCATGTCTTCTGAGGTCTCGTTTACCATGAAGTATTCGCCATAGTCTCCACCCATTAAGGAGGCGCGTTTTGAGAAATGCAGCAGGCACAGCAGGAGTCGAGACACGTGCTGGAGGCTGCTCCGAAACGCTCGTGCATTAATCCTTGCGTTTGTACCTTGCGTCTTTCTCCATTGTCCCTGTTTCGACCGCAACCCGCGCGCATAACAGGGTGAAACCGTTCGACCCCTCGAAGGAGGTGCGGTACACGGACACCCGCGTGGACGAGCAGCAGCGGGGGCTGTCGGTCAAGTCGTGTCCGGTGTCCATGGTGCTTGAGAGCACCGCCGGGAAATCGTACCTGCTAAACCTCATCGACTGCCCCGGGCACGTTAACTTCGTCGACGAGAGCGTTGCCGCCATGAGGTACGTGCTGGCTTGGGGCACGGGGCGGGTGGGGGGGCGTGGTACAGAGGAACCAGCGGTGGTGACGTTAGGATGATGAGGAAAATGGACAGTAGTTATTATAGTAGTTGCTGTGAGAATGACAGGTGCTGCACAAAAGGAGTGTAAGTACGTGCAAGGAGTGTGCGCGTTTTGTCACGTACTTAGGGCAATCTAAGTGTGGTCACACTCATTGTTCTAGCGTTCTGATTCGTTTGTTCCGTCTCTGGGCAACGTTCCAGTGCCCGAGGTTTATCGACGCATTTTGCTGTTGTGTTGACGCTGTTCGCTCGCTCGCCGCAATGTTCTGTTTTTTTCTCTGGGGGGGCGGGGCAGAGCTTGCGACGGCATCGTGCTGGTGGTCGACGCTGTGGAGGGGGTGATGATGCACACGGAGACTTTGGTCAAGCACGCCCTGCACGAGGGTCTCGCCATCACCCTCTGCATCAACAAGGTTAGAGACGGGTAGGGGGGGGGGTAGGGGGGGTGGAGGTAAGAGGTGGCGCGTTTGTCGTGATCGGGTTGCCACCCAACCACCTTTGTATCAGCAAGGTGAGAGGAGTTGGGTAGTAGATGCCGCCGGCACCGTGACACACCGGGAGTATTATTGCGCGGCGGAAACAAGTGCAGTAAACCGTCAACGGCGGCTTGTCCGCGCGGTGAACCGTCGGGATACTCCTTGTATCTGGCCGGACGATATGTTCCTTGGCGTCGAGTTGCTTCTGTTTCCCTGTCTGCTTGTCAATGACTTTTGTACCCTGTGTTATCTCCTTGCCCTGTGGCTAATGTGACCAACGGTACGTTCTTCTCGCTCTCGCTCTCTCCCTCTCTGATTCTTTTTTCATATTTTCTCTAGTCGACCTCGGCACGCTCTCGTTATCAACTGACTGACGCGTGCACACGCCGAAAACAAGCAGGTGGATCGCCTTCTGCTGGAGCTGAAGCTGCCTCCCGCGGATGCGTATTTCAAGCTCGTACACACCTTGGAGGAGGTACAGTATGCGATGTTTGCTGCTGTTGTTACCGTCTGTTCGTTGCATACTATTATAGATACTGTTGTGGTTTTGGTTGCTGTTGTTATCGTGTCGTCGTGGTTGTCCGTGGTTGTTTTTTATTGTTGTTGGGCTGGCGTGTGCAAAAGTCAGCACGGCTGCTAAATGAACAAGGAGGACATGGTCGGCTTTTTGACCGCTCCAAACCGCGAGATGACTTTAAAACATCATTTTTCCTCACGGCTTGTTCATCGCTGTCAACAAACCTAGTCATTTGCCCATCCTCTCATTAGTCCCACTCACGCCTGTCAATTCGAATCTAGTCAGCCTTTTCTTAGTGCATGACTTCTCTTCTCTTCTGTAATTGTGAGCACGTGAGCCCGCTTCATCGGCCTTGTCTACATCCTATCTTCTTAGCACACAACAACAACAACAAAAGCACGTTCCCCCCACGGCGCCCCCAGGTGAACGCCCTCATCGCGGCGAACAGCACGGAAGTCACCGGCCCCCCGCAGAGGCTGGACCCGGCCAAGGGCAACGTTTGCTTCGCGTCGGCGCAGCACGGCTGGGCCTTCACCACCGCATCTTTCGCCAAGGTAACCGACTAGGGTGCCATGATACCGTGGTTCTACTCTGTCGCGCCTGCTATGTGACCGTCTCCCGGTGTAACGGTTGTTTTGTGCCCGGTTCTTTGGTACCGCGGACGCTGTGTCGATGCTTCTCCTGGCGGGGTTTGTGTGTAGCTTTTGGACGTTTTGTGGCAGAAACCAAGCTTTTTTCCGTGGCGGGGAAATTGGTCTTGGAAACGATCGACGTCGGGTTTGTGTGTTTGTGGTTATGGGCGGGGTACTCTGCAGCCGTAGATGGGCGCCGAGGAATTGTGGAGGTTCGCGCTGCACGGCTGCTGAAAGCAGGTGTAAGGATGTATTTGGCTCCAGTCTCTGAAAGTGAGGTAATAGTTCTCGGAGGTTGTTGTTGTTGTTGTTGTTGTTGCTGCCGCTAGCCCCGCCATTGTGTGTGTGTGTTTTTTTTAACATCGCTGTCGTCGTCGTTGTTTTGATGGAAAATGTGGACATGTTTCCGTAACGTCGCAGGGCATTAATAACCGCTCTGGTTGCACTGCCACACAACCGCCTCCTTCGCTCTTTGTTAGGTGTACTGTGACGCTTACGGGGAGATGAGCCCGAAGGAGCTTGGCAAGCGTCTGTGGGGCGACGCTTGGGTAGATCCCACCACCCGGGCGTTCCGAAAGGGATACCCCCCTCCGGACTGCCAGAGGACCTTCGTGCAGTTCATCCTCGAGCCCATGTACAAGATTTACTCGCAGGTGGGCATGTCGCCGCTCTTGTCGTTGCCGTTGTTGTTGTTGTTGTTGTTGTTGCGTTTTGTTTTTGCTGCCGTTGCCAGCTGTTGCTGTAGCTGTGATCGTTTGTGTCAGTACCATCAACGTGGGCAAAGGTACACTCGTGGGTCAAAATCTAGCACGCAGCGAGAGTGGGCTAGGGGCGGCGGGGGTGGGAAGCACACTGATCGGCCTGACCGTTTCAAGGTTTACTCACACGCGTAAATATGTGTATTTCGCCTGGAGGCTTATTTCTGTGCACGTCGTGGAGAGACGCTTCCTATAGATTTGTTGTCCTTGGTGTTGACCCATTCCCGTCCCCCACCGCCACCGCGTTGTGTTGTCGTTGTCAGGTGTTGGGCGAGGAGGCAGACACCCTTCGGCACACGCTCGCCCAGCTTGGCGTAAGAATCGGCAGGGATCAGGTGAGAGAGGAATTGTTGTCGCTGTTGGTGCTACTGGTGTTGTTGCTCCCGCTGTTGGTGTTGCTGTTTTCCTGGGCGATTTTTAGGGGAGGGTGGTTTACCAAAAAAGCGGGGAGTTGTCGTGTGTTGGACAGCGTGTATTGTAGTACAGAGGCGTTTTCTGGGTGCCATGTTCCGTCTTTCGGGAACACGTGCACAACTGCAATAGTACAAGCTTTGTAACACAGCAACAAGTCGATTTGCACTTGTAAGTCATGTTGTTTGTCAGCTCTCCTGCTCGAAACTCGTTCGGCAGCAGTTCTGGGCACGGTACAAAAGCACAACGACAGCTCAATGAAATGGTGCTCTCAAGACTCAGCAGACTACGATGGTGCCC